ATGACTTTTTCAACATGCTATACTATGATATTACTATGACTTTTTCACATGCTATACTATGACTTTTTTATGAATTTTTACGACTACTGTGATTTTTAATATATATACTATGACTTATTTATTTTTTCCGAGATACTATGCTGAGACATTTTTCGAGATACTATGCTATGACTTTTTTCAACATACGATATGAATTTTTATGATTTTTCGACATGCTATACTACGACTTTTTTCGACACACTAAAAAGTCATACAAAAGTCACAGTATAGCGTGTCGAAAAAAGTCAGTGACTTCTTTCGGCATACTATACTATGACAGTTTTTGACATGCTATACTTTACCATATTTTACTGTAATATTTATGACTTCTATCGACATATATCTATGACTTTTTTCAACATACGATATGAATTTTTATGAGTTTTCGTAATGCTATACTATGACTTTTTAATGGCTTTTTTCAACATACTATACTATTACTTCTTTTGACATGCTTTACTATGACTTTTTTCAACATGTATGACTTTTTTTTATTTTTTCCGACATGCTATACTATGGCTTTTTAATGATTTTTTTAAAATTACTATACTATGACTTGTTCATGAATGTTTTCGACATGCTATACTATTACTTTTTGTGACATGCTATACAATCACTTTTGTTAATTTTTTTTATTTCTTTTTTATGATTTTTCTGACACTGTACTATGACTTTTTTGTTGCTATTTTTGACATGCAACACTTACTTTTATCAACATGATTTCTATGAAATTTTTTGAAAAGGTTATACTATACAATTTTACGACATGCTATACTATGACTTTTTGGATATGCTATACTATGACTTTTTTTTGACATAATATACTTCATTGCTTCCTTTTACATGTTATAAAACATACTATAGTATGTTTTTTTTGACATAGTATATTATGATTTTATTCTACTTTTTTTTTTTTTTTTTTTACATACTATGCTATGACTTTTTGCGACACACTATACTATGACTATTTTTTACTTTTTTCGACTTGCAATACTCTGTCATGGGGTGTGGTGGAGGACTCAAACGCAGACCAGAAGTAGAGTGAAGCAGGTATTTAATGAATACTTAAATCAGAACAGGAAACTTATAGAAACACAACAGGGAATCCACGGACGAGACAAAAGACGACGGGGTAAATCCAGCAGGACGAGGCAGGGCAGGCAGACGGTGAAACCGGGAACAGGACGAGCCAAACGGGCGGGTAGACATGACAATGATCTGGCAGTGAGTGACTGAGAGGCAGGGGTTTATATAGTGGCTGATAGAGGCAGGTGAGGGGAGTTGCGCTGATGAGGAGGGAGTGCTTGATTAGTGAACAGGTGAAGGGAGTTAGGCTGATGATGAGGGAGGCAGACAGGTGCACTGAATGAGTTGATAGGTGAGTGAGGTGAGTGAGAAATAAAAGGACAGGTGAGAAGGGGCAGAGCTGTGACACTATCCTATGACCTTTTAATGAATTTTTTCGACATACTATACTATACTTTTTCCACATAATATACTTGTATTACTTCTTTATACATGCTATAAAATGTACTATAGTACTTTTTTTTTTTACCATAGTACACTGATAATTTTTTTAGACATACTATACTATCACTTTTTTTTTTACTTTTTTTTGACATACTATCACTTTTTTATGACTTTTTCATACATACTATACTATCACTTTTGTTGATGTACTATGCTATGACTTTTTTTTTTACTTTTTTCCAACATACTATACTATGATTTTTTTTTTTCAACCTACTTTACTGTGACTTTTTTCAACATGCTATACTGTGACTTTTGATGACTTTTTAAAGACATTTTGACATACTATTCTATTAATGTTCTTGACATGCGATTTTACTTTTTATGACTTTTTGGTTATGAATTTTTCAGGACCTTTTTCACAGGTTTCAATAGATCGTGGTTATATATGGACCGTGGTCCTGCCTGACACCCATTGTTACTATTGTTATTATTACTCGCATTTCTTCTATTACTAATACCGATACCATTACTTATTAGCATTATTAGGGGAGGGATCCCTCCTCTGTTGCTCTCCCTAAGGTTTCTTCCTCTTTTTTTTCTCCTTGTTAAAGGGGGTTGTTTTGGGGTTGTTTTTCCTGTACCAATGTGAGGGTCCCAGGACAGATATGTATGTGTACAGATTGTTAAAAACCTCTGAGGCAAATTAGTGATTTGTGATTTTGGGCTATGCAAAATAAATTAACTTGAATTAAATTAAGGAGAAGCGAGTGGTGAAACAGTCTCGAAAGCTGCACTTAGGTCAAGCAATAACAGAACTTAACATTCCCCAGCATCTGCACGCATTGTATATATATATATGACTGTGATCAGAGCAGTTTCAGTACTGTGTCTCAAAATGAACAAAAACAGACTATAAATTATCAAACATTAATTTTTTGTCAAGGACCTGTACAAGTTGTTCTCACTACAGTGCCCTTCAGCCTGCTTGAGAGCAAAATGAGTTTACAGAAGGTAGAGGGAAGAAGAGCAGCTCAAAGAACATGGTGGACATTCTCTGCTTCATGCAAAGAAATAAACACAAACAATCACAAACCAAGACACAATTTTCTAAGGGGGAGTAATATTCTCCACCTTGGAAATAACAATTGATGTTTAATATTTTCTACATTCTATATAATAATATTAATATATACATATAAAACACAAGTTTTACCTTTATATTGTTGTGTTCAGTAAAATGCATATAAGAATTTTCTTTGACATTTGTTTATTTTATGAATTGAAAAACATGTCTATGTTTTGTAGTTTGTTTAGGTGATGCAATGAAAGTTTGCCACTTTGATAAGTGTAAAATGAATTACCTATTTATTTTTTTATATAATTTTAAATCGCTATCGTAATCATAATTGTTATGTTCTATTTAGCTTAGAAAAATCCATACACGTCCATATACATGGCGGCCCTCTTCCACGGAGTCCGCCATGTCGCAATGCTGCAGCAGCCCAGAATGGACAAATAGGAACGAACACTGGCTCTAGCGAGAGCCGTTATGTTTACACATGCACAGCACACACGATCGGCCAAAGCTTTTTTATATACACTATCTAACGTCTGTGTTCTTCATTATTCATTATTATCATTGCAAAACTTCACTCAGGAATGTTGTTTATTTTATTGACATTTTAGATTTGTTTCCAGTGAGGTATTAATGACTTAATTGTTGGAAACATTACTGTTGATACAATATTTAGTTATATCTAAATTATTATAATAAATTATTATAAATTATAAATAACTTCTAATCCTGTTCTGAATGTATTTGTTTTTAAAATTCAATATATGTTTTCAAGAAGAACCGAGTATTGATAAGAGTAGCTCCTACGAGGCCACCGTCATTTTCTGACACGCTTGGAAAGAAAGGGGTTAGCGAGTCACAAGTTGTTGCCTGCAATCTGCAACCTCACCACCAGATGCCACTAAATCTCACATTGTTGCTTCAAATCATGTTGACAAAAACACGTCGATTTTAGAAATGTAATTTATTTAGATCGGGAAATTGTATTTTATGCATTATTAACTAACCTTGTGAATCAATTGAGTGAGTTTATGTTGACACTTGCAGGATTTCTGCTAAATTTCCCATCATACGTTTCCACAAAAGCCCCTTTGCATGATGATCGTGGTCAATGAAGCTTGTTGGTGTGCCTCAGGTTAAAACTCAACCCGAGAGGCACATTGTAGGTCAATACAATCAATACTCTTCTGAAGTATAATAATAAGCCATTTAATAGCATACAAGAGCATTCAGGCAACATCATACAAAGCATGTCACCCCCGTGACCACATGGGGGCACTGTCTCCATGTGCTTCCACTGACAGAAAACAACCTGCAGAATTAAGCTTTCAGTCCAACGCACTGAAAGTCTCCCTAGAGCTTTTCTGTTTCAATACATCAAAAGATCATAAATATCTTTGGAGTTTTGGATAAGTGATGGTGGAGGAAAATAATAATTACTATTATGAACTGTTTATTTAACCTTTCATTCCATATGGGCTGACCATATGGAGTTTAACACTATATACAAAGATCATGTTACAGTTTAACATTATACAGAACTTCCACTGGGTGCACTGCACAGAATCCCATGTCAGTGTTATGAACAAAGACTTGTCAGGCTCAGGTTAAG